TGATTTTGGAGCTAGTAAAGGCTCTGATTCGACTTTGTTTATGTATGTTAATGTAGGCTGCAGATTTGTGGATGCGCTTGTTTTGGGATTATGAAATTCAAATGGGAAATTTAACATGGAACTGGGAAATGAGAACTAGCTGTTGCCTAATCTAGCAATAGTTTAAGCATAATTATTATATGTTGGCTAAAGCATATAGTAATTTAATCTTAAAGAAATTTAATAAGCCAATAAAGAGAAATGCTTGGGGCTCAGATATCAAGGTTCTTGCAGTGCATATCTAAATAGTTTTCTTCTATAGATAATTATATATATATAGATATAATATAATATTATCTAGAAATGTTTATTCTTTTTCAACAACAGAATATAGTCTGATAATGATGCGCTCCCTGCCAAGCTTTTCTAAAACCGCATATAAATTGGCATAACAAGATACGCTCCATTTCAAGCTAACTTTATACTTTAATCCAATTCAGTTTTGCCACAATTAGCAGCATCGAAAAAAACCTGAAAGCGAAACAACTTTTGGTTAGGATCATTGAGCTGTAATCTAACGTCCAACGTCTAATGACAAGTGGCAACACCTTCATTTGCTGGAGCACATCCTCATTGTATCCGGCAGCACATTCTCATTTAATGCAATTTAAAATGGAATTGCATTTTATTTGCGCAACTTCATTAGCAAAACCCTTCAGCAAATTCATTACGACTCTCCCAATGACTATCAAAATGTAGGGCAGCCAAAAGTTGACTGTCACATACACAGACACACTCACACACACACACACTCAAGCACTCACTCACTAATACACTGATACACTCACCTACGAGCACTCGAAATGTCTTCTCGAGTGCGGAAATATTTAAAGTGTCACACACGCTGTTCGGAAATTAAATGTGAACACTGCTTATGCTCAGTCAGTAAAAGTGGCTCAGAGGACGAGAACTTTTGGCTGCGGAAAGCATACGGTACATTACACTGTGCAACAGTAACTATATAAGCATTTAAAGTTTTACGTTTTTAACAGAGAAGAACCCAGCCCATTTCCTAACAAGGGAGTTGGTCACATAGACACGATATCTTGACAAGGAAGCCATGGAGAGTATTGCTAATTAATAACAGAAAATATTTACATTCATTTATTTTATTTTCTTAGACTATGCTGCGTTTAAAATATGACTATGTATTTTATCAGAGAAGCAGATGTTATTTAAATTCTATACGCATTCTATACGTCACGCTCAGCTACATTTGTGTCTGACCTAAGTAATACCTAATAAGTGAATTAATGGATGCTGTGTATTTAAGCTAAACATCTATTTGCAGACCTAAAAAATGTACGATTTTTAAGACATATATCTGTATACAATTTGTTCTTCAGTCTGTTCTTATTGTAACGACATTGATCGTCAATTTGTTGATTAATGCTCAGCTACAGGTCATATATGAAGTTTTATTTGTTGTGTTGATGGCCAGTGCCAGCCAGCTCTGCTCGCCAGCAGGTAAGGTGTCTCGATCCATCTCTTTTTGTGGGCGAGGCGCAAAAACAAAACGACGTTGTTCGCTTTTGTTGTGGCAACTTCTTCTTATTGTTCTACTGCTACATTTCTATTTTTCATTACATGCTTCCGAGTGCTTGTTGTGCAAATTTTTGTCGGTCGCCCGCCGGAGGGGCTTGGCGTTTTGCGTTTTGGGTTTTGGGTTTCAAGTGTTTTGCGGTTAGTTTTTCGGAGTCCAGAGTTCACGTTACGTTTGTTTGGCCTCCTTTGTGGCACATTTTGCGGTGCGTATACGTAGCATTGTTGCACGCAGTATGAGGCTATATATATTAAATTTAACTGGCTTCCCTTTAGCTAAACGCTCATAAATGCGGGTGGCTTATGTTTTTATACCCTGAACCCATTAAAAATGGGTATAAGGGTATATTGTATTTGTGCAAAATCCAAATGTATGTAACAATCAGAAGTAAGCTTCTCCGACCCCATAAAGTATATATATATTCTTGATCAGCATCAATAGCCGAGTCGATCTAGCCATGTTCTTCTGTCTGTCCGTCCGTCCGTCCGTATGTATGAACGCAAGGATCTCAGAACCTATAAGAGCTAGAGACTTGAAATTTTAGATGTAGATGCTCCTAGCTCCCGCGCAGATCGAGTTTGTTTCCGATAATGGATAACTTACTCCGTTTTCAAGCAATCGATAAAAATCGATATCGATATCCTGTTTTTTGGGTAATTTTGGCAAATAAGAAGAGCTAGAGTCACCAAACTTGACGTATAGCTTCTAAAATAGAATATATTTATAAATATATATATATATATATATATATATATTTGATGTTGGAAGAAGAGGGTATCCCCTAGTCGGGAGCTCCCGACTAAAACCTCTTACTTGAATCTTTTTCCTTTTGGCAAGCAAAGTTCTAACTACATTATATTTACTTTTGTCTAATTCTGATGGATTTAAGCAGTGCGGAAATTGTGGCTGGTAAACAATCCAATAAAACTAAATCAGATAAAATATTAAATATTTTCAGCTTTGGTTCTTATGTTATCAATAAAGAGTTTGGAGTATCTTGTATCTTTCACATTTCTATTTGAATCAACAAATCTCAACTAGAAGCAAATATCCCGAAAAATTGGAATAATTTCCCCATAGTATTCACAAGTCACTGCACCAATCAGTGCTTACAATTAAATATAAACATATTATAGTGATATTTTTAAAAAGGAATAGGAATTACTACAATATTAATTTCAAGCGTTTCCTGTGCTTGCTTCGCAAGTTGAAAGCAAGAGCATTTTTGCCACACCCACACTTGGCCTTACTCAACCATTTGAAGCTGTTCCTGCAGCAGGAATCATACAGGCAGCTTGTGATTGCAATGCTCGTACTTGTGCTCATTGAATAATTTAAAGAAATATAGCAAGGACTTTGCGCACTGCGCTGTTTGAGCTCATTTTAAGTAAACGTAGACTTGACATCTTCACTTTATTTATTACACACACAGGGATAGACTCACACATCCTGCTATCAATAACAGCAAAAACAACAACATCAGCAGCAACTGCCCTAAGCGTTTGCTCAAGTGTGTGAGATTACATAATAGAAACCGCAAATAAATATATCGCGTAATGTAGCACATGACATACGCAGTAATAACAACAACAAGCTATGTACAAGCATGTGTCTCCGGAGACAGCAAGTGCTGTTCCCCTCGCTCTGCCACAGGACTTGGAGCTCTAAAAGAAAATCAACAGCAAGCAAGCAGCAGAAGCAGCAGCAGCAAACGGGTAAAAATAAGAAGGAATACTCGTACCTTGGGCCATACATTCATGATGAGTACCCCCAGCCCCATCCCCAGCCCCAGCACGCCCGCACCGCCCGCAGGCAAACGCAGCGGTTGTCTTGGCGTGGGGGCGAGCCTCTTGCCTGTTGTCTGTATCGAGGTCAAAGCGAATAACTTAAGTAGCCGACAATAAAATGCATAACATGGCACACAGGCCAAAAGGCAAAAAGCAAACCTGAGCGAAAATGTAGAAAATATGGCTCTATTTATTTGTACATTAGGCCAACAGTGAGAAGAAAAAGCAGCAGCAGAAGATGTTAAAATACGCGCCTGACAGGCATTGGCCGTGTATGTGTGCAGCTCTTATACCTTTGTCCCTCCCCTGCGTGTACCTGGTCATAGCAGCTGCTAGTAAAAGGCCAAGTGTTATGCTTGACATGTGCAGAGAACCCATTGAGCGCACACCCTGAATATAGGTTTTTATACCCTGAACCCATTAAAAATGGGTATAAGGGTATATTATATTTGTGCAAAATCCAAATGTATGTAACAGGCAGAAGGAAGCATCTCCGACCCCATAAAGTATATATATTGTTGATCAGCACCAATAGCCGAGTCGATCTAGCCATGTCCGTCTATCTGTCCGTCCGTCCGTCCGTCCGGCCGTATGTATGAACGCAAGGATCTCAGAACCTATAAGAGCTAGAGACTTGAAATTTTAAATGTAGATGCTCCTAGTTCCCGCGCAGATCGAGTTTGTTTCCGATAATCAATAACTTGCTCCGTTTTCCAGCAATCGATAAAAATCTATATCGATATCCTGTTTTTTGGGCAATTTTGGTAAATAATAAGAGCTAGAGTCACCAAACTTGACATATAGCTTCTAAAATAGAAAATATATATGCATTTGATGTTGGAAGAAGAGGGTTCAGGGTATCCCCTAGTCGGGAGCTGCCGACTAGAACCTCTTACATGTTTTTTTTACATGCGTGTCCTGCTGGGGCCATAACAATTTCACGCTGCGCTGCAAAAGCTGACGGGATCCCAACATAAAACATACTCAAGTCGTTTGGCGAATTCATCAAATAATCAAAGCCAAATGATATTGGAGGGAAAGTATGAAATTGACTTATAAATTGACTTTTGTTAAGTCGGAAAAAGATATTTCTGAAAAAAAATGGAAAAGAGATTATCAAAAAGGAGAAATTGTGTTAAAAATGTAATGCTCTTTGGCAACACAGTGTCTTGTTGCTATAAGAGCTTATATTCCACCTATATGTGGACTAAAAAGCGAAGTGTGAGAATACCTATTTTGTAATATTGCCCTATTTAATTAAGGGCTTTCTCTATATTTGCTTTAAATTCTCGATTTTTGCTAGCTTTTTTGTATTTTTTAAATGTCTACTGGGTAACAATAAATAAGCGCTAAAGTTTTGCTGCATACTCAAAAATATTCCAACAAGTATATTTAAAGAACATGCGTATGCAAATTTTTAAAGCTTTTCAAATGCACGCCAACGCATTCCCTACGCTTTTTGAGCACACGTAAGCGTATTTCGTGCTTGCATAGAATTTTTGGGACAAAACAAACCGCATAATTAAGCGCTGAAGTACTACAAACAACAGCGTCAGCTATTCGAAAATTGTTAACAATGTGCATTGCGTATACGCCGTGTGGTGACCGTTTTGTTTTCTCTACCCACACAGATACCAGGACATGTACAACAATCCGATAAAGGCCACTAATTTGGAACATCGCGACGTTGTGCTGGATATACTCTCCGATGCTCGGGTCGTCGGACCCCTGCTGCAGACGGGCATGTTCCATGCGGATGTGAATCGACGCAATTATATGTACGTTTTTGGTCATAATAGCGCGACGGGCCCTTACGCTCATGTAAGTAAAAGTCCATACATATTTTATATAGTATATCGGTGTATTTTGTCTATGTTATAGATTTTGTGAAATGCCGTGTGATTGTGATTGCAATTACGCACCGCATTTAATTAAAATGCTGTGGTTAATTTTCCAAATATATAAACAGCATGAGCTGGGCATTTAATGAGTTTTCATATACTGCCAGCGACCAAAAAGTTTTCGCCGCCCTTGTGACTGGCAACAGCTCCTGGGTAACTAGTCTCTGCTGGGTCATTCCATCATTGGGTGCCATTTTGGCTTTTCAGCAAAACAATTCACAACTTCGCAGCTGTCCAGGCCGCGGCGCGTAGCGATCGTAATAAAGGCAATGAACTGCCTTTGAGTCCAGCAAGGATAACAAAGACAACAACAAGGAACACGAAAACAACATCCCCAACTTTAACTTGACGCCAAGTCTCTAAGTAGACAATGGCCCACTTCACTGGGAATTCGGTTTTGTTTTTTTTGCGACCCGCGGGCGGCTCAGTGGCTGAGTGGTCCATGGTGACTGGTTGGTTGGTTGCCTGGTTGCCTTGTCTAAGTTGTCTGATTATTTGTGTCTCTGCTTTGAGTTCTGTCAGTAAGGTCGCGTGTCCATCTCTTAGCTGCGTTGCTATTACGCCGCTTGCCACCAGTTTTTATAGCTTTGTCATGCTTATGGATTTGTTACTGATTGCCATTTGGTGATAGCCTCTTTTGCTCTCGATATATTAGCTACACTCTCTATGCTATGTTATGATTAAATGTGTCTATCGATTTGTTAATAGGATGTGGGCGCAAATATTTGATAGAGAGTATATCAAAAATGTGATGGCTTGATTGCTGGATGAAACCACTTTGATTCATATTAATGGAAATTGAATAAGTCATTCAAATTCAATATAGATTGACGATGATATTATGCATGGGAATCCAATTGGGGATCGATATGATCAAGTGGACATTAGAAATAAACCAGATATATCTAAATAAAATTTCAGGGAGACAGAAATGTGCATCTATAAAAAGTTAAAGTTAAAAAGTTATGTGGGTATTGTATATATGTAGATAATCTTAAAGATATTAAGTCACAAAAGGATTCATTTGAATAATAGAGAAACGTTTAAGAAATTTCAAGGCTTAAAAACCTTTAAATTATATAAGTATATATAGCAAAAACTTGCATCTTATTACTTGATTTTCAATGTTTTCTCACGTTTCAAATAAATATATTAAAAATGCGAACCTTATTATCCACACTTTTTAAAAAGTTCTAAATAATACTTAATGTATTTATAATAGCTCAATTTTAGATATTGGGAGAGTTAAAACACTTATTTCAAAATCAAATCACAACTAATAATGTGTAAAAGAAAAGTATTGAAAAAGTTGAAAAGTTATCAGCTTTAAAGTAAATTATTTTACAATTTTAGTAATAGTTCTTGTTGTGATTATAAAACACTGAATACCCAGAAGAAAACAACTTAAACCAAAGCTTGAAAAACTCTTGGCTGTCGGAGACAAAAACAAAAACACAAATCCCCAAATAAAGAGCACTGAAACTGAAATAATGAATGGGGGGAACACAAATAAATATCAAAATCTAAATAAATGCGACAAAAAAGTTATTATTTCGCATTATATTTTTGGAAAGTTTAGCTTTGGCTGCGGCGTTAAGCGCATTTTTATGACTGTAGCTACCAGTTCATGGAGGGTCCATAAGTTGGCCATAAACCATGGCCAAGTCGACTAAGACCTAACTAAATGAAAATAGACGTCGACTACTTGAAACAAGTGTGGGTCATAATGCAGGCAACTAGCTTAATAAATGCGACAACAATTTGTGGGAAATGTTGGCTGGGCGAAAAGTGCAACAACTTTTTAATAGCCGGCAATTAAAGCATAAAAGTATATGTAAAAATATATATGAATAAAACACATAAATAACGAGCAGACGAACTGGAGCGCTTAGTGCGAGCTATGCTTTCTGTATAAACTTCATTTTTTTGGTATATTTTTTCGTAGCTTCTCGCCAAAGTAGCTAATAATAGATGAGAGCATGTGCCATAGCTTAAGCAACATTTGTATTTATGTGCTTGAGATGAGAAAAAATGCGAGGACGATCAGCGCAAAGCGCCAAAGCGCATTAGTTGCAAATAAATTATGAAAAATAAAATGAAATTCACTTAAATAATTCATGCCAAAAGCAAAGCCAAAACCTTGCCAAGACAAACATGAACAGAAAATCTTGCTATAAGCAGCCGCTTGCTTGCCTACAAATTATCGCTGCGACAGACGACAACCAGCCCTTGGCCTCATGTGCTACGGGGGCGTTGCCAGACAAATAAATAAACAAACCCACACGCACAAGCACACCCACACATACTCACACGCGCATCTATAATACAATTGTATAAGGCGAGCTTTAACAAAACCGCAACATTTCCCTCTTTTTAGTCCTGACATTTTATTTTTATTTATCTGGCCATTTTTTCGGCATTTGCATTGTTGTTCTGGCAAAGACCTAGCCAAAAACTTAACTGAAAGCGCACATTTCTGCATAAACTGCGCTTCTGCATTTGTGACCAAGTTTTTGGTTCCTATACCCTGTAGTCAGTAAATAGGCAACATGAGTTACTCGTGCACACAGAGCCAGTTTTTATATTGGTTCAAAATCAAATAGTTGAGAACTATATTCAAGAATATCCCGAAGGCATTCTTATGTGTCATCATTATCATAATATTGAATATAAATACGGATTTTAGGCATCTGCAACTTAAGAGAACTAATGTATGGAGTTTCGCGGGTTAATCACTTTCGCCTCACTTATTCAGAGCTATTTTTCTTACGCTGGGATCATGCTTAAGCGACTCGCAGGCTACTTAATCACTGCCTAGCAAGTGACCACGCCCACACTTCAACTTTAACTGACAATCTGACTGAATGACTATACCCCGCTCGCATTCCCCGCTCCGCATGGTCACGAGTATATCTCTGACTAAAGCTGCGGGCATATTGTAAAACTTTCTGGCACATGTCTTGCATGTTTGCAGCTAAGAGGCTAGCGTCCAAGGAGCTCACTTACCCAGCGCCTGAGTCTGAAGTGCACACGAAGGCGGCTCAAGGCAATTGTTAAAATGGCGAAAACGATGCGAGTAAGAGAAGTTCGTAAACGCAACTAAAGTGGCTTTTGGCCAATAAAATTCAATTGCCTACAAAAAATTCAAAGTTTCAATTATTTCATCCATCCGTAAAAATAGAGAACTAAAACTTGGTGGAATTCCTGCACAAATTGGCATTTATAATGTTATATAATGTTATGCCAATAGATATTGACTATTTGTGAATATGCTAAATATGTTAGCTAATAATCTCTGGAAGCGCCTTCATTTCATTCTGGAGTAAACTTAATTTATTTCTAAATTTAGAATAATACCAATAGAAAAATATTATTAAATTTGTTTTCGCATATTAAACCCAACATTTCTGGCACACACACTCACATCGTGCCTAGTATCCCAACTATATCCTGCTTGATTCCTTTTTTTCGGCCTATTCGTTTTTTTTTTCGGCTGCCTGTTTGATAAGAATGCGAAATAAATTGTTAAAGGAAGGAAACTAAATTCATGAAAATAAATATAATAAAAACGAAACTACAATTTTTATTCGAGTCGCGCTTGCAAAACTTTTCTTTCGTTGACCGCATTCATAAAAGAAATGCGACTCAAGACCTTGGCAAATAATAAAAAACTTTTTCTACGTGATGCTGGGACGCTAAATGTGTTGCACACTTTTTGGGGTACGCTCCGAAAATAAAAGATGAACAAACAACTTGACCGAAACTGAAGAAACTGCCCTGTTACTTATAATTATGAAATAGAAAATTTCAAATTAAAGACGCTTACACTTTTCGGCAACAGCACTATGTGGGCGTGTCTGTTTAAGCTTATATAATCCCATTAAGATGAGTTACAAATTACAGCCAGCCCACCTTGGCCCTGGGCGGCCATGGGCCACGCCACGCCTGCTGGCGTTTACATTATAACAAAATTTGGCAAACATTTTTGGCAATTTTCGACTCCCAAACTCCATGAGGCTTATAAGGACAAATGGGGCTTAGGCAAATTGTTGCTTCCGCTGGCTTTTGGCGAAAACGGAAGTAAGCTGAGGGCGTGTGTCAGCGCGACAGGAAGACATGGCGAGAGGCAGAACAAACAAAAGCATAAATTACAAAATTAACGCATTTATTTCAAATTGAATTTCCGCCTTTTCGTTTATTTTTTTGTGCAACTTTAATGATAATTGCTCGCAATGAAAAAACTTTAAAAAAACCAACAATATTTTTATACATTTATAATTTTTTATAAAGTATGCATCGCACGCTTTAAATTAGCTGCCACTTATAAACTGGCAATTAATTTGCGATTGTATTTTAAGTGGAAACAATTTAAAAATGCCGCTTAGCTTATTTATAGCTAAGTGTTGTTCAAACTCTTCAATAAATATACGCCATTAAAGAAATAAAAATATTTGCTTGCTCTCAACTCTTTAATACTATTAAATAAAGCTACAACCAATTTTGTATCCATCTTACATTCTGTTGTAAGCAATTGTTGTCTCAAAAATGTTCTATTATTGTACTCAAATGGCTTTCAAATAAACATGTGTTGTGTACACGGCAACAATACTGGTCATAAACAAGTATTTATGGTCCATTCAATTGGCTTGGTTCAGATAAAAAGTTTATTGAACCAATAAATACAGACTTTTTTTCTGTATTTGCGCGTTTCATCAAAATAATAGAAAGGCAAAATCAAAAATGACATTCATTATTCAAAAATGCCACCAAAAGCTGGCGACAAGCATGACAATGAGCCAAAATGAGCTCAAAAAGGACAACAATTGCAAAAACAACAACAACAGAAACAGCAACAACCACAACTATAAAAGGCGACACCATTTTTTATGAGCGCCAAAGCAAAATGCTTTGTGACTTTGTTACATTTTTCGTGGCAAGAGCGTAAAGTTGTCTTTATTACCTACCTACTTACAGCAGTTGTTGCCGCCGGCCACAGTCTGCAAATGTCTATCTCTCTGTCTAACCGCCTGACAGACTGGCCAAATATTTATGCTGGCAAAGCCAACAAGATTGATGCTGACTGGCCAAAAGCTGCTGAATTATTTTTTTCGCTGATCTGGTGTCTGAAAAATGTTCACAAGATTTTCAATGCATATTAAAATCAAGCAGAGGGTATATTGATTGTGTAAGGAAATCGGAACAAAATTCAATAAGAATTCAAAGTTTATTTAAAGAAAAAAAGTAGAATAAAAAAACGTTTTCAAAATAAAAAGCTTCATTTGTTCGAAATTAATTGCAAAGCCTTTAACATATTTTAAAATGGGAGGAACCTAAACACATGTTGAGAATTTTGCATAAAAATTAATAATTAAATATATTTAGGTAATATCATGGGAAATATATTTTGTAATACTTTTTAAATTTGTACTGTTGCCTTTATAAAATGAAAGTATTGCATATTTATTGTAAAATATATATAAATATGGTTATTTTATGTTGTCTATGTAAGGGTATTTATTTTGTGGCATGCCTAATTTTTCTTTCAATTGTAGCTTCCACATAGCATAATGGGCGAGGAGTTGGCTTTCGTTTTTGGTGCGCCGCTGGCGCCGGCCGGCCCATTTTCCAGCCACAACTATTCCGTGCAGGAAAAGCTGCTTTCCGAGGCGGTAATGGCATATTGGACGAACTTCGTAAAGACCGGGTGAGTAGTGTCTGTGGCAAACTGAATTGAAGAGTGCATTTGGTGAAAGTTTGTGATTGGAAATGCCGTACGGCATTGTGTAGATAAGCCGCGGGCGGAACGTTTGCGGAGTTGGCCAGCTGAGCCATCAACACGACGAGTCGTCTGCATGCAAATGCGACTGTGACTGCGGATGCGATATGCATGGAACTGGGCTGCGGCACGTTTTGCAATCTGCAACGCTCGGACAGTGAAATGAATAGAATTTTTACTGCCGTTTTTATACCCTAAACCCATTAAAAATGGGTATAAGGGTATATTGTATTTGTGCGAAATACAAATGTATGTAAAAGGCAGAAGGAAACATCTCCGACCCCATAAAGTATATATATTCTTGATCAGCATCAATAACCGAGTCGATCTAGCCATGTCCGTCTGTCTGTCTGTCCGTCCGTCCGTCCGTCCGTCCGTCCGTATGTATGAACGCAAGGATCTCAGAACCTATAAGAGCTAGAGACTTGGAATTAGATGTAGGTGCTCCTAGTTCCCGCGCAGATCGAGTTTGTTTCCGATAATCGATAACTTACTCCGTTTCCAAGCAATCGATAAAAATCGATATCGATATCGTGTTTTTTTGGGCAATTTTGGTAAATAATAAGAGCTAGAGTCACCAAACTTGACATATAGCTTCTAAAATAGAATATATATATATGCAATTGATGTTGGAAGAAGAGGGTTCAGGGTATCCCCTAGTCGGGAGCTCCCGACTAGAACCTCTTACTTGTTATTATTATTTCCTTACAAAAACTGCGCCAAAAATGGCAATAAGCACGGCAACAAATACAGCTCTCATGCAAATATTATTAGTAGAAATTCGGCGATGCGATGCGCCACCCAAGCAATCAAAACCGAAATCAGATATCGTTAGCAGACATTTATGTTTTCATATATATATTCTGGTTGGTATTCAGACTTAAAAGTCGCATTCAGCCAGTCATTAGCTATTTGACCCTCAGACTTAAAGGGCAAATTGAAAAGCAAAATATGCTGAAAAACTTGGGGCATTGCTAGCAGAAAGTAAGAAACATAAAATGAGGCTTAGTACGGAGACTTATGAATATGCCGAGATAGCGAATAGTGGATAATGAAAGAAATTGAGAGAAACTTTAACTGCCGATGACATCCGTTTATATATTTGATATTATTTTTCAGTATTCTTTTGTATAATATTCTGTTCTATCCAATCGAATAAAATTTTTCTTCCTATAATAATTGAACTGTTTCTATACTTAAGCAACCCGAAAGCACCCTGGAAGGGAATATTTTTGAATTCGCATCTCTTGGAATGGGATCGCTACGATTTGGACTGGCCGGAGTTTAATAAGCGTGCGCAGGCCTATCTCAATATTGGTAAGTACGGCATTTGCCACACTCATAGACTGGCACTCAAACATTCCCACCATCAACCATGCCGTCAAATAATGAACGCATTCTGATGCCTTGACTTTGGTTGGAATCGCATTTGCATTTGCTTGGTTTCTGGCAGGGATACCGCCGACAGTGGGCTACAAATACCGCCAGATTTACATGAATTTTTGGAACAAAGAGCTGCCGGACGAGTTGAATCAAATTGCGGCAATACAGGTGCGAGGGCAGCAACAGCAGCTGAGCGGAAACGAGGTGATTACAGGCCATATGAGCAAATACGGGGCGCGTGACAATGGCGCCGAGGATCCGGTGCGTACGCTGAAATTGCTGCTACAGGAGCCGCTGGCAACGGGCAGCGACCAGCTAGAAACCGCTGCGGAAAACATGTACAATGCCCCTCCCACATTTGGTCATGTGCATAGGCAGCAGCAGCAACAGCAGCAGCAGGGCATTGGCACTAATGGTGCTGAGGGCGTGGCCATATCCGGCGAGGATGCGACACACAGCAATGACTATGGGGAGTACGGGGCGTCATCTTCCAAAGCGACGCCAACCGAGTCCATTGCCAAATCCGAGACGACGCTGCAGCTGCTTATTGCGCTCATCGCCATCTTCATAGTGCTAAACGTGGTCATCTACGCCACATTTCTGTTGCGCCAGCGTCGGAAGCGCAACACATCCCTGCAACGCAAGCTGGGCGGCAACATTCTCACCTACGATGGCGCCAACGATGATGAGCTGAAGCGTTGCAGTAAGTCGCGCGATGGCGACGATAGCTTCACCCTGGACATGGTGCGCAAGTCCAATACCTACGAGGCCATCAAGACGGGCCAGCGTTCGCCAATTAATGGCTATGCCATGCAGCGTCAGCTGAGCAGCTCTACAGTGGACACGCACACCAAGGTATGCGAATGGATGTCTGCACAGCATCAGCATACGAATTCGGGCCATAAGCTGCCCAAATCGGGTAGCTTTAATACCACGCCCCCGCCGCCGCCGGCTGCGCAGTCGGATAGTCGCATTATCATATGCCAGGACATAGAAGTGGCGGATGCCGCGCTGCTGACACCGCAGCATATGCATGAGACGCTTGAGGGCATGCATTATGAGCTGCTGCTGCAGCGCCAGCACTCGGCGCTGACAGAGCCCAGTGAAGCCACTCTGCTGCAGCAGCATGGCCACACCTACGCACACGCCCACTCACACTCGGATCCAGTGGACATGATTTTAGCTGCGGATGAGCAGATAACGAGCTTTGTGCATGCCGATGACGTAGACATCAATGTGACCAGCCGCGACGAGGATGCACTCGTGCTGCAACCGCTTAGTGCCGCACAGCAACTGGAGCTGCTGCGTCAGCGCAACTATCCCAAGGTATTGCCGACGGCGCAGGATTTGCGCACGAGTCATAGCTACAAACGCAACTCGCTGCCCCCGCAGAATTTTACCGCGCCGCTGCCACCGCCGCGCACCATTAGCAGCACGCTGGGCCGGCGGCGTCGGGATAGCAGCAACATAACCACATCGCCGCTGATGCTGGCACAGGACTCTGGCGAGGAGGAGCCTCGTGAGCCGCAAATCACGCAAAATACACTGATTGTGGGACCCATAGTACCCAAGTCGCCAGCGGCATCGCTCAAACGCATCAAGCACACGGCCGCCGCGCGGGCTGAAATAGATACCACAGCGGTCAACTGTGTGGACACGGCCCTGAGCACGTTAGGCGGTTCGTTTCAGTCATTCGAGTCGGTGCCGCCGGCGCATGAGGCAACCCCACCACAGGGTCAACGCACCGAGTGCGTCTATGCCATAGCGGCGAGCGCCAGTGTCAGCTCCTTGCCAGGCATCAGCTCGCCCAGCAGCTGGTCTGCACCGAATGGTGATCTGTATGCGCAGCCAATAAAGTCCGCCTCGAGAACGTCGCTCATACCGCGACCGTTGCAGACAGCGCCAGCAGCAGCAGCAGCAGCAGCAGCAGAGGCGCAAGCTGCGACGCAGCAAGTGTCAACTGCAGCTGACTCGGCCACGCCCAGCCGCATGCCGCAGCTGCAGCGTCAGGCATCCAGCCAGGAGCTGTCGCCTGTTGACGGCCAGCAGACAGCAGATGCCACAACATCAACATCAAATTCACGCGTCGGCTCCACCATCTCAAGTGATTCATCCGCCTGGACTGCCTCCTCACGCAACTCCACGACGTCTTCGTCCTCGTCGTCGACAGGCACCGTGCGAACGGAACTGCAGCATTGCCAGCAGCCTGGGCGCACCATTGCCACTCACATATAGTAGTCGTAGACGCCAAGCAGAGCTCTCAATTTGACACCATTAACGCACTCGCTGTGCCGCGCAGGTCCCCGCAATGCGACGACAGCACCAGATTTTGGATTCCAGTGCAATGAGAGTTGGCTGCCAAATCCTTTGACGGCTTGTGGCTTGGACTGCAGTGGAAGCCACTCACGTGCGGCAATACGCTCGCAATTTTCAAGTGTTTGCGAAAATTTAATAATACATTTTGGTCGAAAGTTTATCTTTGACTTGGCGGTTGGATTGCACAAGCGGAATCCTTCAGCGGGCGCACCAGGATCTGCTGCAGCTTGTGGTCGCATTGGTTGGCAAAAGTTTTGTCCAACTTCCAGTTTCGTTTCAGCTTTGATTCAAATGAGGCAAAAAATCGAAAAAGCTAACGAAAACCCAAGTGATATGAGTTTTGAGTTGAATTTTATGAAAGGGCTTCCGAAAAATTACGGGAAAGGTCCTAAAAAATGGATTTTAATTATTTAATTGATTTGATAATGGGTTGAAAAGCAAATAGGTTACATTTTGTGCGTAATAAAAAAGAGAGTAAATGAAAATTAACTATAATATGCTTAAATTTATAAAGATAATTAAGATATTATATATGATGCTTCAAATATATGCTGCTAAAAATTGTTTAAGAAAACCAAACTGATATCAAGAATATTTCATTTGAAAATATTCTCTGTATTGGTTCTAAGTTAAAAAGTTAAATAAATAGGTATGTATATATATATAGGAAGGGAACATATATAAATAGTGCTTGTTAGTTTATTTGCTGCGTAAATATGATATTCATGTAGTCACTCAAAAGGTAGAACATTTTTAACAAAAACAAAAAAAATAAGGAAATTGTTAAACAAGTATTATGGGAAGAGTAAATGGGAGCTACGTTAACATAAATAGTCTGTATAACTAAGCGTAATTTATAAATAACGTAAATAATAATTAAGCAACTTTGAGTTTAAGTACATAATCATGTAGAAAAGTTCGATTTGTTTATTTACGCTAATTGATAATTGGGAAGAAAAAAACTTTGCCGTTGGTTCTGCTTGTGCCTTGTTACCTGCAAATAAGCCCGAACTGTGCGCAATTTTATCGACTACAAATTGGCCCAAAACTCTTGTGTCAGCAATTTGGCAAATAAGAGCTTCTTATATAACCAACAGCAGCCAATACAAGGAGCACAATTTTCCGGGTGCTTCCAACTTAATTTGAAGTCCTGACTGAATCTCAAGCAACGTCAACACTTGTACAGTGGCAAATATTTCAAATGTTTTCAGATTTTCTGTGAGTATTTCTTGCCGCAGGGAGTTACATCAAACTTGTCACCACAAAATAGTTTCCAAGCAGTTGCCTAAACTCTATCCAAGCTGGAATAAAGTTTTGAGACTGGCTTTTATCCTGGGCCTTTGCCTTTGTTGCACATTACTTTTTGGCCTTTCAGCGAATTGAGTTATTGTGTCGCCGTTTTTTTTTCCAAGGGTTCATGGTTTTTGGTATTTTATGAAAATTGCTGTCATGCAGTTGGCGCGTTTTTATTCCGCCCGGAACAGGACAAAAACCTTGAGCAAAAAGTACAAGAATGTTTTTTGGGACAAATTGAAATCCTTGCCATAAACACAACCAACACTCAGAACGCACAAAAGTTGTAATTAAATTGTGCGTCCAATTGAATTGTTTGGCGGCAAGGTGCAAAGGGAAAGTCCCTTTCGCATTTTCATAATTTCGCTTTACGCTTTAATATTTGTTTTACGCCAATTTTGTTAAGTTCTTTCGTACTTCATAAGCTGACCTCCCCCCCCAGGCACCTAGTTGACACTAATTGGTGTACACAGAAACTTGTCGGCATAACAAGGGGGCAGCATATAAATTGGTTAAATAGAGCTAGAGCTTTTAGCTCTGTCTTCAGGTTTTCAGCGCAGTGTCGACACGATTGACACATATTTGCACTTCAAAGAGTGGCAAAGCAGGGGTAAAACATCCTGTGGCTTCACATATGACTGACTCGATTTCCAGCTGTTCGCACTTGCCTGCTGGTCGGCTCTGTGTTAATTTGCTACAATTGCCAAATGCTTCGAGCGTTCTCTTCACTCAATTTCAAGGCACATTTCCCACTATTTTTTTCACTTGCCTCCTAATATTCTCGGCATGTGGGTTTATTTTCTTTCGAGTATTTGCCTTTGTGCATTGTTGTGTCTTGTAAATGTGTACAAGGGATTACCCATCAGTGGAAAAATGTATCCTCAGTTCTATTTTATTAGTATTTCTGAGTAACGGTTTGACTCCTTTCTTTGTTCTGCTTTCTATGAAGATGAGATATGTAGGTAAATTATCAGATGCTAGTCTCTTCCTATTCTTAGCACCTTATATTTTCATGTAGAGCTGAGTACGAGCACATCCAGACTCGCAGTGCTTATAATTAATTAGCTTTTAATATCTCTCAATATCTAATACCCTTTACTCAAGTCTTAAAAATGAGCTGATTTTCCCTTTTATCATTTGTTTGTCAAACTTAACTTAGATATAGTCTAATCGTGGTCCTTTATTATTTTTGAAGTTTATTTCATTGTTTTAATTTTTGGTAACGACTTTAAATCAGTTTTATTTGGTTTTCCACCAAATTACACATTGTCACGACATTTGTGTGTAAGTTGTGAAATACTTCTTTAAAACTTAACCGACACCCACAAAACTAAATCAAAGTTTCTAACCAAAAAAAAAGAACTCCACAGAAAACTCTAGATAAAGAAGCCAAATTATTTACCAAAATTGCTGACAGCCACAAATTAGTTTGAGCTCAAGAGTAGATTAAAATGAAATTCTGTTAAATTGCTTAGCTATTCCCACATACATTAAGATGCGAAGCGATTCAGGGAAATAACTTGTAGATAAGTGAATAAACACATCTAGACAGAAAGCAAAGCGCAGAAGCCATAATTGAAACTCTCTGGAGATGGGCAAAAAAGCAAGCATAAACAATTTTTGACCAGAGTTTTGATTTATAGTTGCCAATTTTTATCCAATGTTTGATTATTATGTTTTTTAGTGGCTTGCAGAAGGAACAGATTCAATTGAAAATCGGAGCCAAAGGGGTGATACGAAAAATAAAATAAATATTTATTGCGGTTTAATATATAAGCGCATTTAATTTAAACTGTCTACGGGAAAAAAGAAATAATCTTAAGTAAAAATTATACGAAATAAATTTGCATTAATTAAATACGGTGAATAATGATAATTGCATATAATAAATGCATATGCGATGATATTTTTGTGGTATGTCTGTACACAAATTAAGCGGCTTAAAAACGTCATGACTAATTAATGCACTTTATAATTAGTATTATAAGTTTAATGCCATTAAGCTTATTATGTACTACAAAATTGCACATGTATATACAATTAAATTCCAACAGGGCCAACAGCTTAAATTCAATAGCATTCAGCAATAAACTGGTTAAACATTCCACAATATGACAAGCCCCGATCCCCACTTATACAAAAATAAAAATAAAAAAATTTAAAAAAATTGTGGGCTAAGGCAAATATGCAAATTATGTTGTCTCATGTAGTTCACATTATATGATGATGTCTTTTGTTTTATTTATATTTTTATATAATTGATAATGTGCGTGTGCATTGTTTGACTTTTTAATGAAAATTTTCATAATTTTATGAAAACCAAGCTCAAATCAACAAAGGACACAACATAAACATGTGTAAATTATTTAAAAGCCAGCAATTATTATAATCTGTATCTGTATGTGTAAAATAAAAAAGATTAAAAAAGTTATTTAAGCTGAAATTAAATACATTCTACATTTATCAAGGACATACATTTTTAAAATTTTTATTTTCTTTGAATTTAAGGCTGACCGTTGCAGCAATGTGTTTAGTTTAGTATTCTGTGAGAACATTTTTGCAGTATTTAGTTGTTAAATAATTCAGGCATACTAAATGCACACTAGATGAATGAATTTAAGGATTATACACTAAATATAGAGCTCTTATATTTCCCTTAATTAAATAACAATACATTTTTATTTACAGTGCACTGTTTATTCACAAAGTCTTGCTTACAAAAATAATAAACTTCTTTATTATAAGAAAAATATTATATTACATTTTAAGTTATAAAAATATCCAAGCATATTAACTTTTAGCTTAACAGTTTGGTACTTAAACGCTTAAAACCTTTAAAAAGCTAAATTCTTCTACAGTGCCATGATGGCGGAAATTTTAGATAAGACTTTGAAAGGTTTTAAATAATTACACTATAATGAAATAAAACTAAATTTTTCGGCTGGTTATATGTTGTTTGTATTCAAATCATTTGCAATGCAAACACATCGAAATAATTGTGCTAGCATAATAAATTAAATATTTAATTAAACATAATTACTTCGCTCTTGTTGTTTTTGGTTCTGGCCATTTTTAGTTTTCACATGCATTCCCAGCTCATTTAAGTTTTCACTCATCTGTGTAATTGTTTATTGTTTGTGTTATCTGTTGAAATTGAAGTTCGATGAACTGCAAAATTGCAGACCTTATTGTTAGTGGAATATAAACAAAATATTTCAAAAATATAATTTCAATTGATGCAAAAAGTAATTAAAGCAGAATTTGTAAATAGTGCTTCTCTAATGTTGGGTATGTATTTTAGCATATTATTTGCATGCCATCGTAAAATGTGTGACCTTAATGCTTCAACAGAATTTGAAATACAAATTTCATTCAAAGCCAAATGTATAATTATAAAATTGTTTTTAAATTATAATTAAATGAAATAAATTAATGGGAAATACATATTAAATTTTGAATGAAATAATAATATAAATTATTAAAAATATTCAAACATATCTCAAAGTTGTAAACTGATTAAATTCTTAAATTTGTCTCAGAGCCAAAAACATTCAAAGGCCTAGAGTTGTTCCCGCCCACACACAAGCAATTCCTGACAAAGCATAATTTACTTATATAAATATGTATTCATACATTTTTTATGACTTTTGTTGTTTTCGCATTTCGCTTATATCATGTATGCTTTTTTTTTTTTCATTTGTTGCTGCTGCATAAAAACAAATAAGTAAGAGGTTCTAGTCGGGAGCTCCCGACAAGGGGATACCCTAAACCCTCTTCTTCCAACATCAAATGCATATATATATTCTATTTTAGAAGCTATATGTCAAGTTTGGTGACTCTAGCTCTTATTATTTACCAAAATTGCCCAAAAAACACGATATCGATATCGATTTTAATCGATTACGTGGAAACAGAGTAAGTTATCGATTATCGGAAACAAACTCGATCTGCGCGGGCCCTAGATGCACCTACATCTAAAATTTCAAGTATTTAGCTCTCATAGGTTCTGAGATCCTTGCGTTCATACATACGGACGGACGGACGGACAGACAGACGGATATGGCTAGATCGACTCGGCTTTTTATGCTGATCAAGAATGTATATACTTTATGGGGTCGAAGATGCTTCCTTCTGCCTGTTACATACATTTGGATTTTGCACAAATAAAATATACCCTTATACCCATTTTTAATGGGTTCAGGGTATAAAAAGAAGAAGGGAGATAAAAATTCGCGAAAAGTAAATAGAAGAGAAGCAACGCGCAGGAAACTTTATAAAACGTGACTTAGAACTAAAAGTGAGGCAGCAGTGGCATCAAATCACCGCCTGCAACATGGAAATGTGGCAACATCGTCTCCCGCCTGACTGCCTCCATGACTGCACGAGACCAACTGCCTTCGAGTAGCAATTAGCGCCATGATATTGCGATTTGACGGCACGTGGCAGCCGCCATTTGTGCGTGTGTGGCACAGCGTTAATATGCTAAATGAGACGCATTGACAGCCACTCGCAACCGGCGCTGTGCTTTGTAATTTTATTTTATTTTTGTAGCATACTTTACAGCGCCGTTTCCTAGCATTACGTTCAATTTGCTTATTGCAGAACGTAAACTTGGGCAGACGATGACAACGCTGTCGCCAACGTTGCTGCGCCCCACTTCCAGCCAAGTTTGTTGCACTTTGCAGTTTGCAATTTGGATCGTGGCATCTACCCCACCCGTTGCATTGTCAGCCACGCATTTGTCGCTAATTTGGCGCGAAACGCCTTGGCGTCTCCTCCGTCAGTTGCCTGCAGTCCCTTTTATAATTGCTTGGCACCAATTGTTTTAAATGCTCGATGAGCGTACACAATTTGCTTGGCTGCCGTCACCGCAGAGGGTGCTGAGCTCAATGTAGCCTTTTAACCCAGTTGAGTGCTCTTACACCACTCAGCAAAATTCGGTGACGTTCGCAATTAAATCAGGAGAAAGTAATGAACAAAGTTTATAAATACCTTTGTATTTAGTAGGAAAAAGTGTGCAGATAGGCATCAATATTCTTTAAGAATTTATGATTTCTCTTGCTTTAATTTCAGTATACATTTTTCCATGTCAACGTAATTTTATATCGACTTGACCTGAAGTCAGAATTCGTTGCCGAAAAACAGGTTTACTTTTGGGTTTGTAAAGTGCTCTCAAAAGTGTTAATCACATTCGATTTAAATATATTAAAATTATGCTATTTACGAAGAGCCTGGAGGCTTCAATAAATATAAATTTTATACAGTTAAGGTTTGTGTTTGTTCGCATTTTACCATTTAACATAGCTTCGGCATATACTAAAACGAATTTGTTTACATTAATTAAAGTGATGGAAGTTAAATATATACGAATTTATTTTTGTTGTGTAGTGTTAACGTCAATGGCTTCGTGTAGCAATAAGAAATTGCAAATGTTTTTATTATAAACAAAGAGTGTGTGAGAGCCTGAGTGACTGTGTGTGCGTGTATGTACATGCGTGTATGTGGGTTTGAACTTTTCGCCGTTTCAAGTAGAAATCGATGCGCATCAATATTCAATATGTTGCTTTTACTGGCATCGAGCTGTTAGCTACCTTCCCGGCCACCCGCAGCTGAACTCTCCCAGAGTCGCGACAGCAGCAACAGCAGCATCAGAAGCGCAATCTCAATGCGAATCCTCGACGATTCCATACGCCAAACGCCAGCTGATGTTTGCTTTACGTAATGGAATTGTGCGGTGAATGGTGCGTGGTGGCGCATTTTCGCCTTGGCCCGGGCTCGCAGCGGGTGTCCCTCTCCTGACTTTTTACTGTATGTGGGTATGTGGGTGTCCGTGAGTGTGTGTGTGTAAATTTTCTTTGACTTGGCGTACGGATTGGCGGTTCAGAGGCTTTCAATTGGCTTTCGGCACTGCGAGGAGCGAGCGGAGTGCGACATGTAGGATACGGCGTGTGGCATGCGTCAATGTTTCAACATTTGCCGTTCTCATTTTCGATGCCGCTTCATTCAATTTATTTTCGACAGAAATTAAATAAAAATACGCATATATTAAACATCAACAGTACCTGCTACATTGACAGAAGCAGATTATTTTCCCATGTTAAACATAGTGGACAAATGCAATCGACAGCTGCTCCAAGCGCTAAAAACTGAAAATGGATGCATCGTTAACTATGGTAGAACTAGTTCCGCTCTAGATCATATGCGAACATATTTGGGCTGGGAGCAGTTGGTTTTATACTCAAGGGCAACCTTTATCATATGCACACCAGTGTCGTGTAACAAAGCAAACACGTGCTCGTATTAGCAACCAACTAAGTGTTGTTATTCCACAGTTTTACACCACAATTACCAGCTCCACACTCCTGACGTGCCACCTCTCCTCCACAATCTCACTAACTACGTGACGCGCAGCAGCTACGTGTCGAATTCCCGAATATCCCCACGTTACTCATAAATGTTAGAAAATGTCTGCAGTGTATGTGTGTGTGTATGTGTGTTCATGTATGTGTTGGTAAGTGCGAGACTGTGTGTCATGCGCATGTTTTGGCATCTTTCTACAGCTACTCGAGTAGGTGGGAGACTCGCATATGCCTGTCCATTTAAAGTGATTTTTTTTGTGTAGCATAGCCCAAAGAGTGCTTGTTCTTTTTCTGCCCGTCTCTTACAACGTAATCATATCAGCGCCACATTTTGTCAGCCCTTATTCCTTACCTATACACACATGCATAGTCTGTGTGTGTGTGTGTGTTGCAACATGCTCTACATGTTGTCATTGCATTTGTTTGTGTTCCACTTTTTGTTGCATTTTGTCAGCTTCAATATTGCATGGCTTAACCATGCCTGAAGGGGTCGTTGCGAGTGCACTCTGAATAGTTAGGTATTATAAATAGTTGACAAACACGTTTGGAAATTGTTTAAGCACATTGTTGTTAAAAAAAAGCATCTACAGCCATTTGAATATATGAACGGATAAAGTTAAGACGCTTTAGTTGACATAGAATATTCATGTGAATGGCGTACTCGGATGCCTCAACTCAGTTTATATATTTTTATATTATTTCTGATTTATTTCACTAATGCACATGAAATAAATTTACGTATTTTTATAAAACAAATTTCAACTGTTACGGTTCCTGCATTTGTTGGGCAAATTAATTGGACAATTAATAAATTGGTACTTTTTAATTTTCTACAGGAGTTCCATAAAAAAAAATCTGGGTCACTAATAAAAAATGATTTCAACGATATTCTGCACGCTCTCCCACGTTCATTGCAAAATTCTATCAACTCATATTAAGCATACCTTTCAATGGCTTTGCTAGCGGCCTTTTTCTGTTTCTCCCGCTTAAATTCTACCCTTTTTGCATTCATTTTAATAAACTAACGAACCGCTGTGTTCAAAGTTGTACTCCATTCTAAAGCCAGTCAGCCAGAAAACCATACACATCATTTTGATGTCAATTATTTTGCAGTGAAGAGTTGACATGGCTTTTGTTCGTAGTTGGGTGCGGGTAAACACTCCCCACCCAAAGCTGCTGAAAACCCAGCAAGCGCGACACGGCAACCCCCAGCCCAACGCGAACCCACAAACAAAAATATTCAGCCTTTGCTCTTTGTAGTTGTTATTGCTGTGAATTATTTGTCGTATGACTTTGAGGCGGGCTTAGGTTTCCATCCAACGTGTCGTTGTAGATAAAGATGGCTGCCTCGGTACGCTTTTTGGCAGCTCTTGTACGGAATTTAAACCCAGCCAAATTGAAACACCACATTTCAGCTGAAACCAGGTGCTAGGTAATTGCCCAAATAAAAAGAGCAAAAACATAAAGCAAAAACAAGAAGAAGAGCAGAAACTTGTTCAAATTGTGCCTAATGATGATGGTAGTTGTTAAGAAGATTACGAAATGCAACTAATAAAATAAGTTGGAGGAAAGAGCAGTCTTCTTAGTAGCATGCATGAAATAGCCTGGCTCTTAGGATGATCTAATGTTAATTTACTAACTATTTAAGATTATCACTGGGAAAATAAACCGAATCAGCCCATCGTACAGTTCACAAAAATATTTTTATATATTTTTTGAGTCTTTCAATAAATTACACATTTTGCTGACAAAATCAATATACCCGCTGCAAGGGTATAAGCATCTGCTGTCCTATCGGCGTGCTGCGAAATTCCTGCATGGCGTTGCCATCCAGTATATGCTAGCTGTCATTGCCCAAACTTAGCCATCTGGCAACGCTGTCACGCTGTAAGTTTAACTGACCTTAGCATTTGTTCAATGTTGAATTTGTATAAACAACTCGATTTGATTTCCGATTCGATTTCCGGCTTCACTGTCAAGCAACAGCAGTAACAGCAACAAAGCCGGAAGCGCCGACGCCGACGCCATGTCGAAGGAAGAAGCTGCCGTCATCGAAAAGCTACTACAGGGCGCCAGGGACAGCTATAACTCGGACAGCGGGGACGACAACAAGAAACCTCGACCCAAAAAGATGCTCAACGATCCACGCTTCCAAATACGCCCGTTGCAGCAGGTGGCCTCCGCTTGCACGGGGGCCATGATCACCGCCTGCTTCATGACGCCACTGGACGTGATCAAGACCCGAATGCAATCCCAGCAGTCACAGTCAAACAAGTGCTTTCTCTACTGCAACGGCCTGATGGATCATTTGTTTAGCTGCGGTGCCCATTCGCATTCCACAGTGGGCGGAACTTTCAAGCCACATTTTCGGAGCACATTGGATGCCCTTATCAAGATCAGTCGCCATGAGGGTATTAGCGCCCTGTGGTCGGGCTTGGGTCCCACGCTTGTATCGGCGCTGCCCTCAACCGTTGTCTACTTCGTTGCTTACGAGCAATTCAAGGCCAGGTACATAACCATCTACCAGCGGCACTTTGCGCCGCCTATGAAACCCCTGATCGGCCAGCACCAGAACCTGCCCCTTGTGGTGCCCATGCTGTCCGGCGTGACGGCACGCATCTGCGCCGTCACCTTTGTCAGTCCCATTGAACTGGTGCGCACCAAGATGCAATCACAGCGGCTCAGCTACGCCCAGGTGCTGCAATTTGTCCGCAATGTCATAGCGATCCAGGGCATCAGTGGCTTGTGGCGCGGACTGCCGCCCACCATCCTGCGAGATGTACCCTTCTCGGGCATATATTGGCCCATCTATGAGTACCTCAAGGTCTGTTTTAGCAAGCGCAACGAGGAGCCCTCCTTTGGCTATAGTTTTGTTGCCGGGGTGCTGGCCGGCTCGGTGGCGGCACTGGTCACCTGCCCCTTCGATGTGGTCAAGACCCACGAGCAGATCGAGTTTGGCGAACGCGTCATCTTCACGGATTCACCCGCCAAGGAGCTGAACAAGCAATCCACCTACAGCCGCCTGGCGGGCATCTATCGCGTCTTTGGGTTGCGCGGACTCTTTGCCGGCTACGGTCCGCGGCTGTTCAAGGTTGCGCCCGCTTGTGCCATTATGATATCCACCTTTGAGTATAGCAAACTATATTTCTTCTACTACAATGTGAATCAGCACAACGAGCAACTGCTGCTGACCAATCCCAATGCGAAGCTGGTTAAGGAAGATGATATCGAATAGTAAATCCCCGTAGTTCGAGTCAAGCACTTTATTTTATAAATAAACCATGTAATTATATTTTATGTTAAATTATAAATACTATTTACTGTTCGGCTCAATTTAATTAGCTACAAGCAATGTTCACAGCTTGGGGCGAATGTGAAACTTCTGTTGACTTCTGTTGATTAAATTTAACATTTACGCAAACTGTCACTTAAAAAGATGTAAAGGAAATGAAATTGATGGGAAATGAATTAAATATGCAATGGCAGCACTTCTCATTCCAAAAAGTTTACTTGTAGCCATACTTGAGGTTTAAATACCCCGCAGTCACAAAAATTAATTAAGATGGTTTTCATAAGGCTGTGCCAAATGTTTTGTAGACCGCAGCAAATATATTCATGTACAACCAAGTCATTTTGTTCTCACATGCTGTCACACCTAAGTCCATATATTTATGTTCGCATCTTTCCAGCTGATTGTGATAGTTTCGCTCAAATCGAATAACTCGAATAAGTTGACAATGTAACAGGGCTTATGTTGGACTTGATATTGATATAATATTGCAGCCTGTTATGATTTCGTCACAGGGTATTGTACGGTCGACTCCTGTGCACTTCAACAGTTCGACTTCGAACGTATTTATGCAAGAATGAATGTGTATTATAAGGAAATGGAAGCATGACAGAGTTGACAAATATGAGGCAGACTTTACACTCAATATAAATTGTATGTGATACATATCGAGGAATAAAGAGAAGGAAAAGTAAATTACAAAAATACGAATTAATATATGTACCTACATAAAGGACAGTATGGACAAGGTAATCAATAGTATAAAGCATAGATTACAACTTTTATTGCTTCACTCTTTTCGCAATTTATAATTTAAAAGTAAGTTTAATTTACTTTCCCTTCTCTTATCGCAAGTTATTCCTTCAGCCAATACGCAATGCTGTCAGAACTCGAAAAACATTGCCCATTTCAATTCCAGTTACTTGAACAATAATCGAATTGCTTTGCACCACTCTATAACAGTTCCGTGGTCACGTTCACATTTCACAAAAATAAAAGAAACCCAAAATAAAATAAAAGCCCAAGTGGCAACGTTTATCGAATTGTGCCAAATCCAAGCAATTCACACAATTGTAAATTGGAACATGCCGCATGACCAAATTATTACCCGAATGCAGAAAATGCGGTCATATAAATCAGAAATATCAAACGAAACATAGGCAATTTAGAAATGCTTTTGAATGCAGCCGCAGAAAATAGGCGAGGGGTTAGCGGCGGGTGCAACTAATTGCAGTTTGGAAAACAAGTAAAAATAATTAAAAAGTATCTACGTTTTGCGGAACAACCCAATAATAAAGTGAAATTTTCCCAGCGAATATTTGCCATAAGTATACTTTTTTAAACATTGAACAAGCATTTTACAAAGCTTGCTGAAAGGGGAGCTAGGGTAGCATAAAAAGCATATTTCTGTTTGCGTTGACCGCAATTTGGCAAAGTAGAAGCAAAAAAAAAATAATGGAAGGAGAGGAGCGGAATATGCCTGTCAGTTAGCGATGGGCACAAAAGCTGCGATTTCCACTGACAGTGACTGACGGCTAGCGATGAGCACAAAAGTTGTATTTGTTTAACTGTAGCCAGCATTGGGAGTTTAACAAAAATAAATATATGTGTGTAAGAGGTATGAGGATCAACAGCGATTATTACTTTTTTAATTTAAATTTTTTGTAAAATTTAGCTTATTTTCACACGTTGATTAACAAAAAAAATATGGTGTTAAAGGTCTTAGAATGTATTTTAAATATGAGGAGTAGAAGTGATTTATTTTTAAAGCTATATTATTTGTTTAGGCTGACCCCATGTAAAATGGTTAAGGAGTGTATGATGTTTTTCTGCAAATTTATCAAACAGAACAGGCAGAAGGAAAGATCTCCGACCCCATAACATTAGTATATTCTTGATCAGCCTTAATAGCCGAGTCCATTTAACCATGTACGTCTGTCTGTCCGTTCATATATATGAACTCATCAATCGAGACATGAAAAATCGAACGTGGGTCCATTGCAAACAATCAATACACATCAATATCTAAATTCTAATTTTTGACCAAATCTCTTTATTTTTAAGTTCTGGAGCACCATATTTAACTTGCAGCTTCTAAATAAGTATATAAATATTAGGGGTCTTTCATTAAAATATGAATATTTCCAACAAAAAGAGTTCTTCCAAAGACTTGTTTTTTTTTCTGTTTCTAAAAACGTGTTAAAAACCGTATTTTTGTATTAAACTAATAAAAGTTCGTTCATATTTAGTAAAGTTTTAAATGCAATATCGCTTTACTCTTATAAAAAATAGTAACTATTTACTTCTGTAGGTACTTTCACCCATTTGCATGCACATCACTTGCTCATCTCCAGTGAGCACCACAGCTAAAAAGAAAGAAAAGAAAATATGTATGTGTATGTATAATCTGACGGTCAACTGGTAAACTGATATTTAACGTTGAAGTTTTCTTTGTTAAACGAAAATTGGCAATAAAGCGCATTAAAAATATGCTTTCACTTAAATAATTGAAATTAAATTAAAGAGAAATTCGTGCTTGTTCCCTGCGTAAGGCAATTTGTTACTTTACCACATGAAGTACCCAGACCCCAAACACATCATGCCCTGCCCCACAGATTATACAACCTTTCTTTTTTTCTTCGTGTATAAAGATATATATATATATATACATTTTTTGTGCTCTGCCAATTGCTTTGCTGGTCTTGGGGTGTGGCCATAGTCCATATATTCAGTCAGGCGGTTGCTGTTTTTTTTTTATTCTCTGCCTGTTTCAAAAATATTTGCGCTAGCAGTCAGGAAAAAAGTTGTTGATGGCCTGCTCAATTGGGGAATTGTTGTTCTTGTACGTACTGCAGCTACTGTGGCGGGCATCCTTCAACATTTGCCAGGATATTGGTCGGGTGGGAGGCGTGGTGCATAACGAAGTTTCATTTGTGCTTGTTGCGCTTGGTATTTGCATTTAATTGTTGTATTAAAAATACACCAACACGCACGGCCACAGCGCTATATTTATGGCCTCTAGCATATCAGTCTACCCTATTTTTGCTGTTCCTTTTTGCTCGTTTTTTGTGTCCTATGAAAACATTGACAACATGTGGGCGTGGCAGGCAGTTTGGATACTTCATGTATGCCCTAGAATTGATTCGCTTAACGCTTCTGGCCCAAGCAATAAAAATGATTTAAGCTGATTTAATGGGGATTCATCTTAAATTAAATGTTTCTAGGCTTATTGCCAGCCAATGAGCTATTTGGAGAGTTAAACGACTTTTGTATAAACTCTTATTAAATAATTGCTGCAAGCTTATAAAAATAAATTTAAGGAAAATGTTCAGGCAGCTTTTATTCTGCTTTTAATTGGCAGTTCTCAATGAAAACTGTTTCAAGAACTATTTGCTTAATTGTTTAATTTTATGCGCAGCGTTTGCTTAAACTTGATTAAAAGCGTGCAACAAAATCGTTGCTGGCTAGCTGGAAAGTATTTCACTGTTATTTTAAATTACGTTTTTACATTTTGCACTACTTGCATTGTAAAGCTGTTGATTTTCCTTTTAAGCCAGCGCTAAAGAAAACAATTTTCCCCATGACCTTGCCAGAGCAAATGTTTAATTAATTTCTAGAGCTTACCCATATAAATGGCAGCCAAAACTCAAACAAAAACAGTAGAGAGCACGAAACATATCATAGAAATATATAGGTTTAAGTCAACTGGATATGAATTCTATATAGGAATATACAAGCTTTATTTGTTATTCTTTGAGACAACTTAGACAGACAAATTGACAAAGGAATAGCTGTACATGATTTGTGGTACTGCTTTAAACTATATTTTAATTGATTGTAACAAGCGTTGCACAGTTTTGTTACACGCCTAATTACATTTTTTATGCAGGGTATACAAAAAAATAAAATTTAGTTAAACGAGGAAATAAATATATCTTCAGCACGCCGAAGATTTAATGCGCTTGTGGACATTTCTTTTTTCAAGCAAGCTCATAAATGCTGAGTTTAATTAAAATATCATGGAAAAGGGAATAGTTTGCATACTTTTGACCGATCGTTCCTAAGTGAGCTGAGGTACATAGTACTCCGATGTTGACAAGCTTTGCAGATATATACGGAGTGCAGTGAAATATTTTAATGCCTCGTTTGTGTCAAGATAAATTGATAAACAAAAAAGTTGTTTATGGAAGAAATTAACTTTCGATCGATAGTTCCTATGGTAGCTATATGACACAGTGGTCCGATCCGAAAAATTTACTGATAGCAGAGACTAGTTCGCATAGAAACTGACAGGTCATTGCTTTATCAACTCGACTGTTGATGATGGCCTAGAATATAAAAACTTTATGTGTTACTTCTATGCGTTACACATTTCAAGAAAAAATATATTATACCCTCTACAAGGGTATAATTAAGGAAAATAGTACTGAATGTGAGTGCCTCAAGTCTGTTATAAAAAATGCTTTTAATTTTTCAAGGCCGAGAAAACTGCTTATCTCTTTAAAACGGGCGACGCAAATTTTTAATTAACGTGGCCTTTTTTACAATTTTTAGTCCGTCCATGCCCAGACGTCTGTTATCCTTTTTCATTGCTGTTTGTTCGTGCTTATGCACACCTGAGTCATCGGCTTGCCCGAGACTCCGGAGAATTAATTAAAATATATAAAACAAGACGGAAAAATAAAAATAAAAATTTCCTGGAAAAATATTTGCATGTAGCAATACAAATTTCAAGGCTGCGCCAACAGCTTGTCAATATCCTGTACGCATATCCTTTGGCCCCTGCTGCTACAGACTGCTTTTGGAGGGACTTGCGAGCACTTGATTATGCGAAGTGTGCATAAGCGTATTTAAAACAGATCTTGCAAATTATAAAATGTTGTTTATTTTTATTTAAATTGTATTGAGGCTCATTTGCACCACACTAAAGTGCAGCCCTTCGCAGCCACTCGCTGCTGGCATTTCAGCGCAATTTGCCTGCAATTTTCTTTATGAATTCTTTTTCATTTATTTTATGTGTGCCTGTGTGTGCGT